CCTCCTGCTTTTTGGGGTCAACTTCCTGTTTGATGCTTTTTAATACAACGGATTGCACAGCAGCTCACAGCCGTCCTCAGCTTTAAATGGTTTGTGGGCGTGTGTCCCTTTTAACAGAAATCAACTGGTTCAGATTAACATTAAAAACAATACAATATCAAAAGATAGACCAATATATATGTACACACACACACACACACACACACACACACACATATATATATATATATATATATTGGTCTATCTTTTGATATTGTATTTTGTGCTTCAAGATTTTCTGTTATTCTATTCTTTTTTATTATATTTAGACTATTCGATGTATCACTGAGGTTGCATTTATGAATGATCCATATTTGTATTGTTTTTAATGTTAATCTGAACCAGCTGGCTTCTGTTAAAAGGGACACACGCCCACAAACCATTTAACACTGAGGACGGCTATGAGCTGAAACGCGTCTGTTCGACTGCTGCTGTGCAATCCACTATACTAGAAAGTATTATACTTATTAGTGAGCGCTGTCGGGTTTTTCCTGCTTTGCTGTAGTTTTTTGAACTGGCACCCAATTACACTTTGAGACTTTTGAGTGAGCACGCCAAGTTTGCTGAAGACTTATCTCCATACACAACAATACTAGCCAGCCAGCCCTGACCACCCCAAGATGGCGGCGACGTTGATGCATCGCTGAAACGTGCCGAAGCCGTCAACGAGGTATCTACTGTATATGGTATCTATGGCACTGACGGTGACAGTGCCTAGCAGCAGTCAGCAGTTGCTCTCCAATGCTACAGTCATCATCATGCTACCTAGTACTAAAAGAAAATCCGGTTTTCAAAAAAGGAAAGAGAGAAAGGAGAGAGAGGAGAGGCAAAAGAAAGGGTGTGACCCACTTTTTCTCCAAGAAAGGTGGGTAGCCTATATTCTGTGAGTGGTAGAAATGAACCTGTTAGCTTAATGTCCATAGTGAAATAAGCTAGCTACAGACTAGCGTTAGCCTAAATTTCACTCCTTTTTAACCTACATTTAATCAGTGCAGGTAAATGTTTAGCAAGATATTCATATTAAATCAGTTGTCCCTGCCCCTTTTACCAGACTCAACAACAGATGAGTCAGAAGCAGCAGCCCTGTCTCCCCATAACTTTATCCCTCTCCGTCCCGATGAAGAAGGTGAGCAACATTGTGCTGAATGATATGCCAGTTAGCATCATTGCAGGGAGTCTGTGGGAATTTCTCTCTCTCTTTTTTACCATTACAAAAAAGAAAACGAAATATTTTTTAAGGACAGAAATTCAAACAAATTATTTTTCCACATAATGATTATTATGAAACAAAAACAGCCTACAACTGTCTGTACTGGATGCTGGACAGTTGGAAACATTAAGTATCCTAACTCATCCTGTATTAAAGTTACAGACAATATTAAAATAATCCAGTTAGATGCTTTCATTTAGATTGAATTATGTCTTTCATTAATGTTTAGAGAATTTTCCATCTGCAACATTCAGGAAAATATTTCACAGGTTGCGGCTGCAGGGTGTACACACGCTGGTCGGTGACTTAGTGCAAGCTTGGCTGTTTAGACATAAATAACAACATGGCGCCTGACATACAATCCTGTATTGCCAAACAGTGCACTAAAAGATGGTTCTGAAGACATTTTAGGAATAGGAATAGGATTTTAGAAATAGGCAACACAGTAATAGAATGTAGATTCATATTTGATCAACAGTGCCTAGTTTTAGTTTTACTGCTTGATCTGCATTTGGTGTGTGCAAGAGTGTGTGAATGTTTCTCCAGATCCGCTCCTATAGTGTTTGTGCCCATGGTGGCGGGCATGTGAAAATATAACAGCAACAGCCCAAGAGTCACAGAAAATCTGCTGGATTTTCGCTGGCAATTGAGCAGAGATACTGTATCTGAGCGTCTTTTAAGATGGAGGGAAGTTTACCATAGCTCATTTACACTTTACACATTTACACACTCTTGTGGGCCTCTCCAGTTTGGGAGCCACTGTACTTCACTACAAGATGTGCATTTGCTGGTGTGACAGAAGGAACATTCAATCAGTTTCTTTACCTGTACTGGTTCGAAGAGGGCAGGCCATCTCTCTCTGAATTCTGCCACTGTCATGGACTGGCCGACTACTTCCCTCCTTCTATAGCTGTATGTTCTGGACATCATGTCATTGATCATCTGACCATTGTCCTTTGTCCTGCTCACTGCAATAAGCTCCAGTCTCACATTCTCCAGGCTTTCATCGGTTTCGCCGGCTGGATGTGGGGGAAGGAAGTTCACCTCAGCCTTCCTTGGTTTCTTGATATTTTTGGCAGGTTGTCTCTCGCCCTCCTGCTTGTGTTTCAGTGAATTTATTAGCAGCTCAGGGTTTCCGTGTGCTTTAAGTTTGCTCCGATAGTTTGCACACTTGTATTTTAGGCTTTGCTGCCACCCATAACATCCATTATAAGAGCCAGGTTCCCTCAAGCAGGGATGCTTCTCTATTAGCGCCTGTGCAACGGCAGTCCTCTGTGGATCATTGGGATAAGCTGTGTAGGAAAACATGGCCTCCGCCAGGCGCTCCAGAATGTCAGATTTGACACTAGGTGATGTCAGCAAGATTCCGTCTTTGAGAAACTTTTCATTGCCTTGCCTCAAAGCCATCTCTGTGTTGTAGGAGAAGGTTGGAATGGGAAAGATGGCAGGCCACAGGCTTTGCCTCCCAGTGGCAGGGGAACTGGGAATCACAGCATCCTGTGAATCCACAGAGAGACGATCATCTACAGATGACGTGTCTGATGTGTCAGGGTTGCGCTCCTGAGGGGCCGTGGCCATTAATATACCTGGTGATAATGGCACGTGCTCTACTTTGACTATGTCTTTATCCTTCAGGCTACATGTAGAGGTTATTGTGAGGGAGTTATCAAAGTCAGCGGGTCTGCGCTGCTGAGGAGCCGCTGGCCTTGTTATACCTGAAGGTGCTGGCAGGTGAACTACTTTGAGTGTGTCTTTATCCTTAAGGTCACCTGTAGAGGTTAATGTGAAGAAGTCATCAAAATCAGCATCTTTGTACAGAAGGCCTATCTCTGTGGTGATGGAAAAAGCTTGTTTAAACACTTTAATCAAGTCCTCCAAAGTTGAAGGGAGGCCGTTTTGGAAAGTTATCTTCTTGATATCGTGCTCGATGATGACTCGAAATCTCATGGCCTCTTGCGTACCTGTAAGTAAAAACAAACAAACAAACAGAAAAAAATAACAGTTAGACATAAGCCCCTTCTACACAGATATCACGCTACAGGGCCACTACTAATTACCTTCTTTATGCCACCTTTGTATTTTTACACAGAACCATACAATGGTGGCATCATGCTGCTACAGAGTGTGATTTTAAACAGCATGTTAGCATTGTGGAATCAAAAGAGGCGTAATAATTGTGACATGTAAAACAGCATTGGCCTCTAGTGTGACATATAACATATGCGTTGGCAGCATTTTACAGACAAAAACAATGGCATAACATGGCAATAACAATCATTTACCATCCCTGTTATATGGCAGTTGATCTCGTCCTCTGCTTGGAAGGTAAGGAGCTCCCAGACTTGCAGGACTGCCCCTTAAAGTTGGAGATTCGAATCATCAGTCGAAAACCCCTCAGTCGACTGGGATTCCCTCAAATCGAGCAGCCTTTTTTTTCTTTTTGCGAGCCAGTGCGCTGTGCAATTGCAATGCAATTCTCTGGACAATCTGGTTCCCAGATTTCCCTGCAGAATGAGCGCTCTTGATTTTCACGCTACTCTTTGGTACAGACAGCTGCGGATGTGATGCAGCTGCACAGAGGAAGAGAAACTTTCCACTGAAAGGCTCTGAAATAACATTATCTCCTCTATTCTGCTTGGAATCGGTGAATTTACAGCTCACGGGTACTTAATATTACACAGTCTCTGGCTTTTGTTTTGATATTAAGTGTGGGAAAAAAAGGTTGTTGCCCATTTCCGATTTGTTGTTAGCGCCATTAGCTTGTTTACTATATCACATGAATGCTGCTGTCACACTCAACGTCCCACTTTCAAAATTTATTTTGAAAAAACAAACAACCTAATCTTCCAATATTTGCATTAAACTTATTTGACTGACATAATTCTGAGCCTGGTACAGCCCTACAAATCTCACTGTTTTCCCGATTTGCAAATATTTTCAGCCACTGCTCTTCTTCTTCGAATTAGGCACTAACTGCTAACAGCTACTTTCTAAATCTCCTGTAGTGGATCAGATGCGTAACACGTCGTCAAAATGTCACACCCGTACCACCCATGACATCACCCCACCAACTGTCCCTCTTATACAGACATTATTTTGGCACTGTTACTACCTCCATTCTCAGCTCAGAGGAGAGACAACTCCCCCAATTCTGTGATTGCACCGTTTATACAGAGCAGCAACGCAGCATAACAGCGTGAAATTCCTGCCTTTACGAGGCAGTGTGAAAGGTTCTATTGGCAGGGTGAAATGTTTTCCTGTGGTTTGTAAAATTGCTTTCCAATATCTCTCTTTTCCTGTGAAAGAGGATTTATCTCTGTAACTTTAATCTGCATTCATTCACTTCTGTCAGTTAGAGAGCACAGAAACATATACACATTGCTGACAGACATAAACCCAAATCATTGACTTAAGAAGTTGCTATACTTGCTGTGTCTCTAGGCACCTGATAAACATAATTTCAATATTCCTTAAGTAAAACCTTTGAATATCTGGTAAGCACTGTATACAGGGCTAAAAAAATTAACACCCGCCAAGCACCAAATGCGGCTAGATTTTCCATTTGGCGACTAAATCTCGGAAGGCTATCCGCCACATTGGTGGCCACATTGGCCACATTGGCAGGTAAATATATAAACATTTTTATATATATG